TCACCGCCGGCATGGGCTCGAAGGCTTCTCCCGAGGGGAATTGGTAAGTTTCCCCCCCAAAAAATTCGCCTCAGCCGCCCGCTTTCCGCCTCTCCACTCACCAGCTGGTCTCTGACAGGAATTGCCCACCAAATTTAAAATAAATAAATAAAAAAAAATTTCCTCAGAAGCCGCCGGAAACGGAAGCGCCGCCTTTCCTACCCAGCGACCCCCGCGAGGGCTGGCGGAAGTGACGACGAAGGGAGCGAAGGCGCATGCGCGGAGGGGAGAGAAGGACGTGGGAAAGGAGGGGGCAAATAAGCCAGAAGGCGACGAGAGGGCGAGGGCGGGGCCCGGCAGGCTTTTTTTTCTAGACCCGCCCCTCGCGCGAGCCGAGCGCGGACGCCCACAAAAGAGGGGGCGGGCCAAGGGAAAGCCGTTGGGTTTGCCCCGCCCACCCGCCTCGCGCTAGAGAAGCTCCTCCCACCGCCACGAGGGAAGGGGAGGCTTTCAGGAAAAAAGAAACCAACGAACAGTTTTTTTCCGCGCTGGATCTGTATCCGCGGATTCGTTTATCCGCGCCCTGAAACGATTAAAAATCTAAAAAAAAGAAAAGATCCTAGAAAAAGAGAAAAAAAAGAACGCCAAGTCGAAGAGCACTGAGATCTTTAAAAAAAAGATCCTAGAAAAAGAGAGACTTCTAAAGAGGAAGTGACCAGAACTGGCCACAAGAGGGAGTGAGAGACCATGCGATGGATAGCGTTCGCTATCATCTGTGTTTTTCAGCATCCACGGGAAAGCTTGGAATCCCCCCCCCCCCGCAGATACAGGGGATCTCCTGGTGATCGAGGTAGGTAGTACCTCCCACAACCATCTGGAAGGGAAGCTGGATGATCATGGCCACTTCATGGTGCTGCAAGATTTCTCGTAGCCGAAGCTGCCATATGAGATATTAGACAGGCGAGCAGAAATGTCTTTTTAGAAATCATGAAATGCAAAAACTGGCAGTTCCACCCATGTGCCATCAAATGAATTCTGAGTTACAGCCACCCTTTTCAGGATTTTCCAGGTGGGGTGTTTTTCTACTTCCTTCCTCTAGGGGGCAACCTTGGGATGGTGCAGCTGGCCCAAGGCCACCTAGGCTGGATGTTCTCTCTCAGGAGAGGTACAGTGGGGATTCGAACTCCCAACCTCTGGCTCTGCAACCAGAGACCTAAAGCGTGGAGCTCTCCAACCAGCTAAGAGTGGACAGAATGGCCAAAGACCATCGAAATCTCTCCAACTGAACTGAAAATACTACATTACTGGGATTTATAGAGTAACAGATTCTATCGGATCATGCCCTAAAAAAGGTTTTGTATCAGCTTGAAACCCCCAGGATGAAATTCTGAACGCTCAGCTGCACATCATTAGGCAAATATGTTTATTATATATTGGTAATACATACAATTTTGAGTGGGTTTCAGATACAAAATTCATGTACAATAATTCACAAACCGATGAATGTACTCAACATTCTAAAGCAAACATCAATCAACGCGAACGTCTTCAATACATTTGACAGCAAAAACCCCAGAAACGTCATAATCCTTGTTACTTAACACAACATAAATTTGTTTTGTTTTTTACAGTATTTTGTTCCCTTGATGCTATGTCAGGAGTGTAGAGAATCACAGTGTTTTTTAACTTGGAAATTCTATTTAGTGGAATAATCTTCCAAAAGGAAGCTGCAGATCCTTGGGATTTATTTTAAACGAACTGCCACATGCTTCATCACCATTATTATCTTGCTGAGTTAGCTTTCACTGAAATCCGGGGAAATACTGATGCGCAAACCACAGCTTAAATGATCCACAGTAGCCGACAAACCTGTATAAATGTCCGAAAGGATGAGGAGGAAAAAAGGAAACTTTTGTGGTTGAGCGTATGGCTTAGGTAATTCAGATGCATTAGGGACACACACCGTTTTGTATGTACAGTATTAAAGGAGTCAGACATCAAGTTTTCACATCAAGGGTGGGGTATGGAGTGTGTAACAAACAACTCGTTAAAGGGGGGGGGAACTTTGTAAACAAGGATGACCCCCTAATCATCTCAGCGTAAGAAAAAGCATCACATCGGACGTATTGAATCAGGAATGTTGCAGAAATCTCAAGTCGTAATGCAAGGAGACGGACATCAAGACATGGGTTAAGGAACGAAGGTAACAGTGGCTTTGTGAACCTGTTACGGAGGTTACCCTACACGGCATTATCACATGCACTATGGACTAGCGGCACTTCGAACAGGTTAATTACATGTAACATGTTTGTGCTTCAACCTCTTTGTGAGAGAGATCCTAAGAGATAACAGCTGTATATATATTTTTTCACCCCCCTACAACCGGCACCACAGTTCAATAACATCTCCATTTACAGACACGCATATGCCACGGATTATTAAAAGTTCGCTCTTTACCACTAAGAAGGTAAATTATTCCAGCTGTTAGGGGGAAAAAGGTTTGTTTTTTTAAAAAAGCATGTTACATTCTAATACAAGCGTGCTTTTTAAAAAAAAATCACAACGTTTGAGACCGTTGCAAAGAATGTGCCGTTTTTAGGTACAGATAATATTCCAGTGCACCTGTTTGGCTCCAATTTTTTTATGAGTTTGCTAGAATTTCAGCAGGACTCCCGTCCGGATAGCATTAGAGAGTCTGGAAATTTGATTTTGCTCGATTTGTAGCCCTTCCTGACTTAAAGCGCTTGGTTTTACCCTCTTAGAATAATATTTAGAATTGCAGAGCAGTCCAGACCCTGTCAAGGAGGCCCAGTGGGGATTTGAACTCCCAACTTTAGCAGTTCTCGGTGGAACTAGTGAAATCACTATACAAAATTTAAGCCATCTTGATTTCAACGGATGTAGCAAAGTCACATTACTATAGTTAAGTGTGATTAGGGCAGGAACCAACCCATGATCACAATTTTTTAAAAAAATAACTGCTGATGTGAAGTATAATCTGTCTTCTCGCCCCCCTCTCCTTGGCAGTAGGAGGGTTAAATGCAATTTGTACCTACTGAATTTATATACTGTATTTTTCACACCATAAGACGCACTTTTTCCCCACAAAACGGGGGTGGTGGAAAGTCTGTGCGTCTTATGGAGCGAAGAAAACAGATTATATTTTCCTGTTTTCTCCTAAAAAATTGGTGCGTCTTATGGAAAGGTGTGTCTTATGGAGCGAAAAATACGGTAAATTTCCTGCCTCATTAGCCAAACATACCCACATGAGCAAAGGCTAGGAAAACAACAGTAGCCAGAACACAGGATAATTTTTACATTGTTCAACCAAGCATCTAACAAATCTACAGGATTACCAGGCCTAATACACGCCAAAAAAAGAAGAAAAAACGACGCAAAAAGGTATATGCACAAAAACATGCAAAGTGGCATTGAGAAAACAGGCATAAAAAGATACACAACAGAATCGGTGATTAATCAGGCCTTAGTGGTATTAGAATTCAAAGCCACCATTTAGAAATAGCGTTCAAACTAGATTATCACCCGTTAACTTTGTCTTGAGACTTCAAGCACGTTTGCATTGCTCTTTAGCCCCCCCCCCACTTTTCAAGTAAAGTAATATCCCCCGTTAACTTTGTCTTGAGACTTCAAGCAAGTTTGTGTTGCTCTTTAGCCCCCCCCCTTTTCAAGTAAAGTAATATCCAAATTACCATGTTTCCCCGAAAATAAGACAGGGTCTTATATTAATTTTTTGCTCCAAAAAACGCTTTCGGGCTTATTTTCAAAGGATGATTTATTTTACCGTCATATTGTCTTCTGGTTGCTGCACAATGGTGGAGGGAGGGGTTTCACTTCACTGGGGCTTATTTTTGGGGTAGGGCTTATATGACCAGCATCCTGAAAAAAATCATACTAGGGCTTATTTTCAGGATAGGTCTTATTTTCGGGGAAACAAGGTAGCTGTTCCTTGCATTGGAAAAATAAAATAACCCTTACTGATTTCAGACACTTGACCTAGTAAAGCACCTTTAAGTAATCTGCTCAGAGTCCTCCATTTCCAGAGAAAGGTGAAAAATTGACCAATTATTCTAGGAAGCAGTACAATTTTCATTTTTAAAATTCTCCCCTTTAGCCTCAGTAGGGCAAAATGAGGGGGTGGGGGGAATGTTTCTTGTTCTTTAGGACACAGTATAAATATAAATTATATTTAATGACACTGAGTTTATGTCTTGGCTCTACTGCCTTGGTTAAGTATTATTTTATTTTATTTTTGTATTTTTAATGAGTACGGCCCCATCAAAGTGATAAAGGCCTAAACGTAGCCTCCTAGACAATGCTGACACCTTAGCAACCAGTTAGAATGCCTTGTTTACGCGTACTTCACTTTTAATTCACATAAAAGCTTCTCTATCAGGTGCATGAGAATTTAAACCAAGTGTGCCGTGCCAGTAAGCAGAAAACAGCTTCTGAGTTAGAAAACCAGAGGTGAATTCCAGATGGGAATTCAAGCAACGACTGCTTTGGTTCGTTAGCATTCGAAGACGCTAAACGGGGCATGACTGCCACACAATCCTAATAATTTTCCGGAATGCAAGTCCTACCAGCTCCTGGCAAAAGAGCCAGTGGTAAAGGGATGATGGGGGTTGTAGTCCCAACCTCAGGAGGGCCATGTGTTTGCTATTCATCTATGCAGAAAGGCCACCCATTTAGTATATCTGAAAGCCGTCCCGGCTACTTCTCCATGGCATTTCTAAGGAGAGTCCCATCAGCATCTTAGCGCATTTGAGTAAGCCCATATGGCTGCCACATCACCAAGGAAGAAGGCCAAGCAGAAGTCAACCTTATACTCAACGCACTAATCCCTAGAGAGAGAAAAAAATTCTGCAGAGACCCCGCATCCCAGAATAGCAGGAACGACGAGGCAAGGCTGAACTGTATGATCTGACTCCCATTTCGCTGCTACTTCAGAAAGTTTAAAAAACTGGCAGCAGATGGCCGTTGATCACAGCGTGGCAACCGCCAAGGAGATGCCAATGTGTTCAGTGGTCTTAAAAAAAGAAAGCTATCTCGTAGGCTGACATACGGAGGCCAAGCAGCTCTTGGTGACATAAATATCAAGTCGCACCCTTCATCATTGCAGAAGAGCGTACTTCCACCAATCCCAGCAGTTGTGAGACGCTTTACACAGAAATGTCAGCTGTGTGTGTCACGTGATCGCACTAGAATATATTCCAGGGATCTTATC